TTGCAGCAGGAAAAAAAAACGGCCTTTTACCTCAGCCTAAATTAATCCATCTCTGCCTGAGGTCTCAGCTAGCTGATAAGCTTTGTGTGCCCAATGGAGATTTTTTACTTTATTTTTTACTGGATTCTTGTTTCTGAAATAAAGATTGTTTCTGGTTTATTAGACTTTGGTTGTCTATCCCTACCTTTGCATGACCCCGCTGGACCCAACATCTAGAAGTGTAAACAACACTGGATGACTAAGGTGTGTTCAACTACATTTCTTTCTTGCCTCATGCAGGGCATTACTCTGCTGGCCATGGCATTTGCAGAGAGTACAGCATCTCTTCTTCTCTGATTCTCTGTCTCTATCTATGAAAGCACTAAATGCATGTTTATTCCTTCTGTTTTTGGGTATGTAAAAATGGTGATCATTTTTCTATAGAAACATTAACATAGTTTAGGGCGATCAAATTCAATCCTGCTTTTCTTTGATTTCCCTGCCTACAGCAACCCACAGCAGGAATTAGAGACTGTGTCCTCACTTTATGAGAAATAAAGACATTGGCATGGTAGCTAAGAACACTTTGAAATCTGGACGCCATCTGTCTATGGAGATCTGCCTTGACTGGGAGGCCCCCAAGGATCCTTGTGGGGAGCTGTGCCCCAAGGGAGAGGCACATGCTCTTGTGGATAAGCACTTGCAGCAGGAAAGCTGAGCTGCACAGAGGCAGCCGCCATTTGTGTGGGCAACGGGGACAGAGAGCAACCTGGATCCCACTGCACACGTGCAATTGGAGTTCTCAGCATCCAGCCTCCCCTGTACACTTGGAGATCTCAGCATCCAGCCTCCCCTGTGCACTTGGAGATCTCCAGCCTTTCACAAACTGCAGGCACTCAATTGCAAAACACAGTCCTAGCAACCTGCTAGAGTCATGGGAAATGTAGCCCCAGGCACAGCTTAATCACTAGACCTATGACCATGACTGTCACCTGACAGCTCTTAATGTCTTCTGCCCCCTTGTTTATTTTATTTCACAATTTTATACCTCTGTGTTTTCTATATTTTTCTTTTCATACAACCGAAGCTCTCAGCCTCCTCCATACTCTCGTTCTGTACATGTTTCTATGTGCAAGAATATAAAATAGTTGCCTTTGAAAGAGATGATCTCTATAGCCCTAGATTTTAAAGAAAACAACTCTACAGACTGACATTTTCAACTCAAAAAGCAGTATCAACATAAAACAAGAGACATTTACATAAAAAGACTTAACATGGAAGCAGTTAGTGGTGTACATGCCTTTAATCCCAGCACTCAGAGGCAGAGTTTACAGATCTCTGTGAGTTTACAATGAGCCTAATCTACAAGAGCTAGATCCATGATAGGCTCCAAAACTACAGAGAAACTCTGACTTGAAAAACAAAACCAAAAATACCCAGAAACCAAAAAAATAAAAAAGACTACACGGTGACTAGTACTTCTTTATATTTTATATATGTGTATGGATATAAAATTACATACATATATGCATAAACTCCTGGTGGTATTTAGTTTCTTGCAGGAAAATAATTAAATATTTCATATCAAATATAATAAAATTTCCTCATTTTGTCTCTTACTAAGGGACAGAAAAAAATGTGTCCTCTCTTGGGTTAACCCAGTCAGGGATGGGCCAAAGGACTTGATCCAGTAACCTTGAACAGCATCTCCAAAGATTCACTGGGTGTCTCTAGGTCCATCCCAAGAGCAATGAAGGTGTGGGGTTAGGAGATTGGATGGAAGATACTCTAAGCAGCTGCTCTCTTTTAGGACTCTAAGTACATAGAGTGGTAACTTATTGTGTTGTAGGAGTTCGCATGTTTATCTCGACTACCCAGAACCAAACTGACCACACAGACACTGTATTAATTAATCACTGCTTAGCCCATTAGCTTTAACTTCTTATTGGCCAACTCTTACATCTTAATTTAACCCATTTCCAGTAATCTGTGTATCACAATATGGCTGTGACTTACTGACAAGATTCTGAACAGAGTCTGTCTCTGGTGGAGTTACATGAGTTCTCTCTGACTCTGCTTTCTTTCTCCCAGCATAAAGTTTGGTTTTCCTCACCTAGCTCTGATCTACCCTATCACAGGCCCAAAGCAGCTTTAACCAATGGTATTCACAGCATATAGAAGGAAATCCCACATAATTATTCCACTCCTGAAGTTCTCGTTGGTAATTGTCTCTCTCCATGGGATGAGCATGCTAATGTGTCAACCAGGGATTTGAACTACATGTCTGAGACAGTCTTAAAAACTCTAGCAAGTATTCTTTCACTCATCCAGCCCCATACCCACATTATAATCATTGAACAAATTCTCTGGTCCATCAGTACAATTAGTATCCTTGTTCCCTTTTCAGTAGTAAAAAGAGAACCCATAAGACATAACAAATGATTGCAAGCAGACTCATCAGACCTGGTCACAAGCAAATGTCTGTGTCCTGGGTTCACTCAACCTGCAGAGCAGGGAAATCCTTACCCCATAGTGGCTGTGAAGGTGGCTGCAGTTGTCTGAGTTTTCACCAAAACAGGACTCCTCAGGATCCTTCCTTGATGCTCTGCTCTCTTCTGACCTTCGCACCAACTGGGCTTCTCATATATAAGCTGGGAAGAGTGCTATAAAATGAGGTGTGGTGTGGCATACACCAGTGGGAAAATGAAACTGGAAACTGAAACAAAAGCCTTCAGGTTTCTCGTCAGCGAAACTGTGGACAACCAGGTATTGGCCTTCCTGTTCTCTACTCTGAACTGATAAGGAGAAAACTCTGGAAGAGACTGACATGTCAATTCCCCTCTCTGTCCAGAGAGAGACATCCGTGTACCAGGAGATGCTGTTACAAAGGGGTTGATGGAGGCAATGTGAACATAAAGGACCAGACTTGCATCTTCACAATTTTTTCATCAAAAGTCCTGATATTCTGCACTTACTCTTTGGAAGTGAGACTATAGTCATGTTGATTTGATGGGATGGCAAATGGAAGTTTAGGGATACAAGAGTCCATCTGCAAGTTGGTTCCTCTACAGTCTGGAAGTAGTCCATACCACTTGGCTTGCTGTGTGGCTTTCCTTATCAACTTCTGCAGATTCTATCCATGCATGTGCACTTCCCTCTGCAGATCTTCTCAGTGTACCTGAGGCTTTACTAGTTAAATAGTAGGCCTCGGGCAAATAACGAACTCTTTAATATAAGCAGAAGGGTTAGTAGAAAAGGAACCTGGCCTCTTTTCTATCTGAGAGAGATCTGAAAGAGAAAAGGGAACATGAACTTTTATAATGCTATTGATTCCTGCTACCTCCCGGAGAGGGCAGAAGAGGACAAGCTATGTTGGTATTTGGCACAGGAGGAGACTGGGGAGGATTGGGAGGTGGTAGCCCAGTGTGCAGAGGGAGTTTATTGGTGGAAAGTTGGGGTAGGATGGGGAGGGTGAGGAAGAGAGGAAGGTGGGTAAGGTGGAAGTTGACCTTGAACTTCCAGATTGGCAAGGAAGGGGGTAGACAGTGAAGGAGAGAAATATAAAAAATGTTGATTCATAGGAGGGGGTTGGATAGTGTGGGCTTGAGGGAGTAGTGGAGTGGCCAGTGCCTCTGGCTGCATGGTCCAGCTAAAATTATTGGGGTCACAATTCCCAGATGACTGGAAATTTGGAGGCGTTGTGCTCCAAGACCAGTGCCGTGAGACACAGGCTACTAATAAAAGGGAAAGAGCACAGAGCCGAAAAACCATGGACATATGTAAGCTCGCCCATTTTTCCTGAAGGCGACAAAAATTTTCTAGGTTCCAGAGGACGGTAAGCCCAAGGCTTCCTTCTGGTATCCCATTGTCAAGATAGTATTGAGGCCAAATCTTAGATGCATAGGGAAAGTAGCCATTCGGGACAGATTGTATTGGACAGCCACAATTTATAAAGATTTTGTAAGAGGCATCTCAGGGGTGACAGCGGATCTGGCTTTGAACTGCAAATGCCCACGTTAAAGTCTGTGCCCAACTGCGTGTCCTAACTCTATTACAGTGTGTCCCCTAAAATAGCTCTTCGGTGTAAGTGGGCCAAGGAAATTGAATGCTAGGTGTCCCTAAAGCAAACAGAGTCCATCTCAGCTAGACCCGGTCTTGCTGGTCTAGCTGCTGAGGTCAGACCTCAAGGTGCAGGCCCGCAGCTTCCACAATAGTCCAATAATCGAAAAAAGCAAGTACAAATGGGTCCCTCCAAACTCCTATAGCACAGACAACCAAAAGGGACCCACCAAGACGCAGCTCTGTAGCCTGGGAGCAAATTTTAGAGGGGCATGGAGAGCTCAGATTGTAGACTAGGGGGCTTTTGACATGTAGCCTACGGCCATGCAGAATGGCCACCCTTCCCAGTGGGACCTCCAAGATGTTAGGAATTTTGCTAACGGGAGTGCTCTGCTGATGCAAAAAACCCAATCAAGCCAAATTACAAGTCAAATTTACAAATATCCAAATTTAATGGGACTCCTGTGCTCTTGGGTGGCTGCAAAGGGAAACCAGGATACCGGGAATGTAGTTATGGGCTGGAGGGGGGTAGTGGACGAAAGAGACCACGAGGGAACTTTCAGTGGAAGCAGTTTAAATAGACTGGGGCAGTGGTCAAAATTTTGGCAGGCTGTCTTGACCCTGATCCAGGGAATGGTCAGGGCTTGGCAGGCACAGAGACGGGGCCTCCAAAAATGGAGACCAAAGAATAGGGCTTACAGTCACAAACACTTTAGCCAATGGATAGAGCCAGAAAATACACCAACATCGCTCAGCCCTCATGCCACCCAGGCTGAAAAATGGTTTTCAACTGGGAGAGGAAGGGAGGCTTCCCTACAAGATCGTTGTGGAGAAGTCTGTGCCATACCCAAGTCAGGGCCTATGATTAAGTCCCAAGCCCTGCTATAGCAGTGATCTGTGTTGTTGTCCACGGCCTAGTTATAACCAAAGACCATGTGGATATCTGGTGTCTGTGCTGTCACCTGAGGCCATAGTGACATTTGTGGTCAGGGTGGCCTGCAAGGGCCTTGTCTGGGTCCATGGTGCTAATGCATTCTTTGTTCTAGCTCAATCTGTGCCCTCAGCATCCATCAAAGGCCATGGGGATATCCTTGGTCTCTGCCGATGCATGAAGCCATCAGTATCTGTAGGATGTGCTGCTGTAGGGTACCAGATTGTTGTGGGTTGCCATCTTGATGTCCTCTGACAGGTAGCCTATGACAATTGGTTCTCGGTTAGTGGTCTAATTGAAGCATAGGGCTGTGTTTGTGATCTATAGTGTCCCCAGAATTAGAGTGGGGCATCACGACCCATGTCCCCACTGAATGGAAAGAGCACAGAGACAACTTTTGTGGTGAAAGTGATATCGATGTCTGCAGAGGCAGGGTTGAGAGGGGAAGATATGGAAGGCGTTTGTGGCAGACAATGGACCTCCCAAACTGTCTTCCCCTAAAACACATAACAGCCTAGACAGAGAGCCACCAAAGAAAACTCATAAAAAGTGTGACAAAGTGTGATGTCAATCATCTGTCATGTCAGCTACCCTACATCAACTCTTTTTTTCCCACCTTTAAAACCAGAACTCCACAGGCAGAAACTGGAGGATATCTGAGTTCAAGACCAACCTGGTCTACAGAGGGAGTTCTAGAACAGTCAGAGCCACACATTGAAATTCAGTCTCAAAAAACCAAAATGAATGAAGCAGTGAGTAAATAAATATAAGAAAACTTGTGAAAGAGCTGAAGACTAGCTGTTATGATTGTTCGTTACTTTAAGAAACAAACCACGGCCACTCCATGTATCCCGCCTTCCATAGCCATCTTGGCTTCTTTCCTTGCTCCCTTTTCTGCTGTCCCTTTATCTCTCTCCCTCTGTCCTCTTTTCCTTCTTTTTTTCTCTTTCTCCCTCTGTCTGTCTGTCTCTCTCTCTCTTTCTCACCCCCTTTTCCAATTTTTCCTTTTCCTCCATAATTTAACTAATAAATGTCTAATTCTATTCTGTATGATGTATCTGTCCTTGTTCTGTCTGTCCATGTGCCTACACTGCTTGCCACCGGGAGCTTGTATCTTCGCCAGGAACTTGCACTTTCCAGGGGACTCACAGTCTGCAGGACCAGCCCGCTGCTGCATGGCTGGGGCCAGCCACCTTGGTTTGTGGACTCGCCAAAAGCTGCCTTGTACCCGCAACATAAATCATACACTATCTCTCCTCAATCCATAGCTTCTGAGCTTCTGGTGAATGTGTGGGAGAGGAAGGATTCAGTGTATTTCTGGGATTGGGCACTAAGAATTTGGCGATGCTCCAAATACGATATAGATAACACAAAGTGAAATTTGTGTTTTTCTTGTTTGTTTACTTCTGGTGTAAGTTTACAAGGCAGAGTGGACATGAAAGGACTGTCAAGATCAGAGTGTATGATATAAACCTCCCAGATAATCAATAAAAGATGGTATGTGGTGAATAAAGATTACCATATGTATTAAAAATGTTGTGAATTAAGGGGCATTTCAAGGAAACCAGGCTTAAGGATTTACCTGAAAAATCAGATTGAAGAAGTGTAGTCCCATATTTCTACATGATGTGACATCTAAGTTCTCAGGCCATGGTTAGGATCCATCAGGCACCCTTCCAGACAGGCTGTCACTGCCCTAACAAAAGCTCAGCCTATGCTGCTCCTTTTCTTTTGTAATTATGTAGATCGCCTGAAAAGAGGTATTATTTCCAAACTAGTGACCAAGCTGTGGACATGACTATAGTCCTGCTACTTGGGAAACAGAATGTTAATGAACTTCCACCTTAGTTTACCTTGGGGGATAAAAGATGTTTGGTTAGTAAACACTGGTGATCTTGAGGGTTGGAATAAAGCCTGAGACTCCCTTCCCATATTGCTGTGTGAACTGTGTCTCATTTATTCCTGTGCCTCCTGCAGGTCCAAGAGAGAAAAATAGTTAATATTGGGGCATTGGACCCTGATAAAGAAGGGGTGTTGCTTCCACCCTTGGATATCATCCATAGAGTGACAGTTAGTTGATACTGGGATGTCACAGCCCACACTAACCTATCATCTGATACCTGTTGTTTGTGTCAAGGGACAATTTGACCAACCTTAGTCCCCTCCCTTGATGCAGTCTGCTCTACTGAAGGCCCTTTCCCCAGATCACCCATCTAGACCTTGACTTGACTTGCAGCTCTTGTCCTTGACTTGGGTAGGCCTTTTGAATCCTGGCTGGATTCCTCAGCATCTTTTTTGGCCTGCCACTGGCAACAACACCAGCAATCAGTACCAGCAGCCCCCTCCTGGACTCCTACTCATCTATGGCTCTTTCTCGTGTGGGATCATTCTCACTCCTCTTTTGAACTACAGTTCATCATGGAATATTGGGAACTGTACTCGTAACTAAGTACACATAATCAACATTTAGTAAACAATAATGACGCTATTAGCTACAGCCTGATGCTCAAACCATAAAGCACAGTGGTTTTACGTATTATTAATTTAAATATTTTTCATATATATTTAGTGGTGTGTACTTGTTATGTGCTTGTGCACATGCACAGTGTATCACCCATGATTGTCCCTTGCATAGCTGTGCACATGCACAGTGTATCACCCATGATTGTTCCTTGCATAGCTGTGGAGGGCAGGCAATAACTCATTGAAGTTTCATCCATGCAGTTGTGTCAATGAGAAGAGTCAGGACAATGGGAGAGACAACACTATGAGGGGAGAAAGAAGAGCAAAGTGGGCCGGGAGGTGGTGGCGCATGCCTTTAATCTTAGCACTTGGGAGGCAGAGGCAGGCAGATATTTGTGAGTTCAAGGCCAGCCTGGTCTATAAGTGCTAGTTCCAGGTCAAGCTCCAAAACTACAGAGAAACCTTGTCACAAAACAACAAAACAACAAAAACAAAAAAGAAGAAGAGGAACAAAGAAAACCCAAAAGAACTGACAGGACAGTTAAACAACAGGAAGGGAGGGAGAGGAGGAGCAGAGGGCAGAGAAGAGCTCCTGAGCATTGGCAGTGTGGGTCAGCAGACATAGAGCACAAAGGTACATCATGGGCCATTGAGTCTGGGATCTAGGAACTCAAGGCACGTCAATCAATGCAAGAACCTTAAGCATTTCAGTTTTCTAGTTTTGACCTATAACTCTCATGGACTGAAGTAAAGGAGACAGGGCTTAATGATAAAAGGAACACGCCAGATAGCTGAAGCATCCAGTATCTGACACACATACCATTCTCTACAAAGTCTTGGAAAAGTGTCTCCCTTGAGGCAAAGGTGGAAATGGTTTCCTGGAAGAGAAGAGTCTGCCAAATAACCAAATCCCAGCTTTTCAAACAAACTGCATATCCTCTTGCTGCTTCCCAATCTTTCTTTCTCCCATTCCCTTTTCTTCTCCTGTCTCAGTTACCCTTCCTCTGTGTTGATGTGGGCTACCAGGGAGCATCTTTACGAATCCTGAGAGCTGACACTACTGTTTTCTTTTGCTTGAATTTAATAAACATGTTATTGGCTTAACATGGATAAATCTGTAGAACAGTATCACTGGTAATTTCCCAAGGGTCAGGAAAATGAAGTGTAAGCCCATCCCAAGCATCATCTTCCTACTGAGAAATATCAGCGCTCAGGTACCAGGGTAGCATCAGTCACCCTTACTATCCGGTGTTGTGTAGAATGAAATAACCTTTTTCGTGTTTTCACATCCCACGTGCTGCTTTCATGTGCACAGCTTTCTCTCCTGCTTGCCCACTTGACTCCTGGGAGTTGGTTCTACTATTCCATGCCTTCCCGAGTACCATGAAAGATGAACCTTTGGAGTACTATCAACAAATTACACTTAAAGAGCTTGTGATTCCAGCAAATTTTAATGGATTTATTTTAGTGGAGGGAAAAGTGATGGAGGAAGTTTATTGGTTAAAAAATAAAGAAACTGCTTGGCTGGCCCTCATAGGTTAAAACATAGGTAGGCGGAGTAAACAGAACAGGATGCTGGGAGAAAGAAGCTGAGTCAAGGAGTCACCATGATTTTCCCACTCCAGACAGACGCAGGTTAAGGTCTTTCCTGGTAAGCCAGCTCGTGGGCTACACAGATTAATAGAAATGGGTTAGATCGAAATGTAAGAGCTAGCCAATAAGAGGCTGAAACTAATGGGCCAAGCAGTGTTTAAAAGAATACAATTTCCGTGTAATTATTTCGGGGCATAAGCTAGCCATGCGGGTGGCTGGGTGCTGGGGATGCAGCCCAGCCGCTCCTATTTCAACAGAAAAGCATCACCCATAACACACAATCAACAGCACAGAAAAAAATGGGCAAACTTCTTATGTCATCTTCAGTCTGTAAGGTTTCAGAAAGTTTTCTTTGCATTACTGTCCCCACAATTAAGTCTCTCATTAGCTGTGAATGGGTGTCCAGGAATGTGAGACCTCTCCTGCTTTCAAACTTTCTCCTTTGCTCATTTCTTTTGCTCTGAGGTTGTACTAGAGTAAGAATTTCTGATGACCTAAAATGAATCGTAATTAAATTAGACTTCTTTGTCCAGGACACTGGCAGGCAGAGGATGAAGACTTTCTTTGTCACAGCACAGACATAAGGAATAAGTTTTGTGTCAGAGTTCCAAGGGTCGAGCACAGCAGGTGTCAGTCCTGGTCATTAGGTGAGCAGGTGTAGTGGGGACAGAAATTCCTTCTAGACAGAACAATAAGGGCGAGAAAGACGTGGCAGGAGCCAACGCATTTAGGTACTTGGATTCCAGCAAGTACGCAGTTCTTGGGAAAGCAGTCAAAGAGGAGGGATGGAATCTCAGTGATGACTACATTATCTTTGCAGAGGTGAGCTGCAGTCAGAACTCAGGGTTCATCAATACAGTGAGCCTCAGAGCCCTCTCTTAGCACAGCACGACCTTGTTCTTTCAGCTTGTGGACTAACCCAAGGAGGTTGGTGCTCTCCACAGGTCGATAATTCCGCTGAACCCATCTTTCAGCCACTTTCTCCAAAGCATTGAGTAGTTTCCTTTGGGCATAGGACTTTTCTTCTATTTGTAGACCTTTTAAGTAGTGGGTGATCGCCATGTCCTCTGATTTTTGATGAAATAACTGGTAACGGCCATAGCGGAAATGAATATCCTGCTTTATGTGCCCCCTAAGGTTCTGCATGTTCAGCGCTATCTGGAAATTTGCCTCAGCTTCTTCATATTGGCGAATGTCTGCCTGTACTTCAGCCATGCAAACATAAGCCATCTCAAACGTGGGCCTCAGATCCACAGTCTTCTGAAATTCAGAGATGGCCAGTTGTGCCTTTTCCTCCATGCTGTCCCGCTCACCAGGCTCAGTCTTCAGTTGGATCATTTGTTGCTTGTAACAGAGCCCTATTTGGAAATGCAGGTAGCCAGAGTCACCTGATGATTCCAAGGCCTGCTTTAGTAGTTGGAGAGCTTGGTCTATGCAGCCTTTATTGCGGTAATACTTGGCTGCATGACGAAAGACATAGGTTCGACAGGACTCGCTACTGAGGGCTTCTTCAATGTGTCTTTCTGCTTCGTCATTTTCTCCTACACTCTGAAGTTTCAGGGCAAGATAAACTTTAATATATGGATCTGCTGGATTTAACCTAACAGCCTTCCTTAGTGGTTCCAGAGATACATTATTGTCATCATTGTCTTCACGATAGGCGGCGACAGCATAGCCAATGCTGTATTCGCGGTTTTCAGGCTCAGTTTTCAGAGCTTTTGCAAAGCAGGCCAGGGCTCGTCTACAATTCCGTCCTCCACACTTCAGCAAGGCCCAGCCTTCCTCACAGTGCATCTCGGCACACTCCATCCTGTAGCGGAAGGGATTTGCAACGTCCTTGCACGCATTCTCCACCTTGTCCAGGTAGCTCTGGGCTTCTGCCAAGCTGCCCATGTGGTAATGCACCCAGGCACAGTTGCCCCAGGTCACCAGCATTTTCTTGCCCAACTGCTCTCTCCTAGCCAAGGCTTCTGCTTCTCTCAGGCTCTGCAGGGCTTCCTCATGCTGGCCTTTCCGGTGTCTCACGTAGGCCAGGAGGTTGTGCATCCTCACTGGGCTCATGATGTCTAGGAACTCGACCTCCTCCGAGATTCTCATTTCCAAATCAGGTATGTCAGCATCTTCAAACAGCAAGCTCCACGTGAAGTGACAGCTCAGCTGAAGGAGATTCTCCTTGACCTGATCAGCACCAGCATTCTCTCTGCAAGAAGGAAGCAGGAAGATTTTTCATGGACCACCTGCCCAGAATCTGACACCATGCAAAGCACATTTTACAACATTCTTGCTTATTTCCAGGAAATCTAACATTTTGCCCATTTAGAATTTCTTGATATCTGTTTTTTACATCAAATCCTCACTTACTAGAACTGTCAGAGTCTCTTTGCACATGCACGTCCATGTACGTGTACTTACCATCTTAGCTTTTGAGTTCATCCATTTATTCACGAATGGACATGGTCACAGAGATATAGGCCGGCTCACATACTTGTCAGACTCCTGCCCTGAGATGTGGAACTCTACAAAACTATTACCCCTTTCCCACTGTCTGTGAGGACAATGTGTACAAGTGCTGGCCACCTGAGCTGACCTAAATAGGAACTATTTGTCATTGAAGGTCCTTCCCTATCATCTTAGACACAAACAGCTGTTGTCCTGTCAGAAGTAGGCTAAGTCAGAACAAATGGACATGCTGTCTGCACTGTGACAGCCTTGTGACACTAGGGATATGATTTTCTCTGGATCTTTTTTCACTGGGCAACATAAATGGAGGGGGGAGGTGACTCAACTTAGCTGTCCTCTCCTAGGGTTACAAAGAATCTCTGCATTTGAAACATGCATCTACACTTCATGTGCTTTCTTGTCTCCCCATGGAGCAGGACAAGTTCTTTTCTAGAGTGTATCACCCATGCCTTGGGATCACACTGTACCCATCTGTGTATAGGGAATATCAGTGTTTCCCGTTTCTGGACTTTGGGGAGATTGGTGAGGATAAACACATGGATATGTTATAAACTCCACAGGAGTTTCCTGCTTTTCTATCTGTGTTGAGAGCAAGAAATAGAATTGTGTGACTTGGGTTTGTAGGCACCCACAGCAGCACCTTTGAGTCTTCCATGGCTAGACGGGAATAGGCCCTTGGTCCTGTTGGTAATTGTCTGCCAGAGGACAGAGATGTCAAAGTGCTTAAATCAGCTGTCTTTGACTTTGATCTGATCAGATGCCAAGAATAGCAGCAAGAGGTGCCATACCCTGTTAGGTCTGTCCCATAACGGAAAACTCTAGGTTGGAGCCCTTAAGTGTTGATAAATAGAACATGACAGCTATTTAGAAACCTCATGAATTATCCAGATGGACTCACCAGCCAACCGATTTCTTATGCTTCTATCCTGACAATGTTATAATCAAAATCCTTAGGACTCTGGATAGCACCCCCCACTTTTGGGTTCAACTTTTACTGTGAAAGACCCCCACTCACTAAGCAGCAGTAATGCCATTTTGCAAGGCTTAAACTTTGGAGCAACGCAAGTAATTAGAGCAGGGAAGTTCGACTTAAAAACAAGGGCGGAGAAGCCAGGCGAGATATCTGCGGTCAGCCGGTCAGCCACCTGGCCCCAAGCGATAAGGAACCCGCAGCTGGCCTGCTCTAATGAGAACCTCCCGTTTGCATAGTCAGCACATGTGCCCAACTTAGAATGTCAGTAATTCACAGAAGAAGACAACTCCCCCTATGAAAGATCCCAGCTTATCTGCTGTAACGTCATTTCACAAAGCTTTTGACGAACGACTGTAAGTGCAGAGTAAGGTCAGGGTCCCTGGCTGCAAAACAGGATCTTTATATCCATAGATTAGGACAGGACATCAATTAACAGGATATCTGTTCCCATACATCTGTGCTGGGAGAGGAAAAACCACCTGTGCCCCTTGCCCCATTCCAACTGACCACTAACGATGCATTTGCTTCTGTAATCTGCTTCTGCTGCCCTCTTTCCTATAAAAAGACCTTCCCCCAGTCTGCAGGCGCGCTTGTCTTCCGAAAGACTAAGTCGCCCCAGGTACCTGTGTACTTAAGTACTTAATAAAGCCTCTTGCTATTTGCATCCAAAGAGTGACTCGCTGCTCCTTGGGAGGGTCTCCTCAGCCTGAAAGACTGCCCAGCACTGGGGTCTTTCATTTGGAGGTTCCACCGAGATCTGGAGACCCCTGCCCAGGGATCACCGACCCACCACCGGGAGGTAAGCTGGCCAGCGATTGTTTTCCGTGAATGTCTGTGCTTCGGTGTTTCTGTGTTTGTGCCTGCGACCGAATCTGTACTAGTTGGCTGACTAGATCTGTATCGGGCGGACCCGCGGAGGAGCCGACGGGCTCTCACTCCCGACCGCAGCCCTGGGAGACGTCTCAGAGGCATCTGGGGGCCGGATGTGGTGCCTGGCCCATCGGTAACTCTGTGAATCCTTACCGAATAGGATTGTTCGGGGCACCCCCACAGTCCGAAGGGTACGTGATTCTTCTGGGAGACGAGGAATCCGGATCCTCAGAGTCTCCGTCTGAAATTTTGCTTTCGGCATTATGCCGAAACCGCGCCAGCGCATCTGTATTGTCTGTGTATTTTTGTGCTTAATATGTTCTTTGTTTTGTATATCTGTTTGTACTCGAGTCTAAATCTGGTACCATGGGGCAGTAAATAACCATCTCTTTGACCCTAACTCTAGGAAAATCCAAAAGAAATGCAGACAGTCTGCCCTTCCTTTACTTCTCTAGGCTCTGCTGCTGAACTGCCCTGCTTGCTGTCGCGAGGGGGGAGGCAACAGGACTGTGATCTCCTGAGGCACAGCCTGGAGCCAGGCCTAGGCGGGGCAATTGGCTCCAGCTCTGAGCAAACCTCTCAGCAGGACGCAGGGCGGGGCATGGCAGCAACCCTGGCCCGAGTCAGAGAAGGGGGCAGCCGTGGCCCCCCTGAAATCCCTGTGCTGAAAATGACGTCCTCCCTTGCTGACCTGAAGTCCACCAGCACCGCACGGGAGGACTGGGGGAGGAGGGCTGCCTTAGACAGTCCAAGGTGTTCCCTCCCCCTACAGCCAATGCAAAGGCCTTCCCAGCTGCTACTGGCAGTGTGAGGGCTAAGAGGAACTGAGTGGACCAATCCTGACCTCACAAGTTCCCTGGAGGGAATGCCTCCTGGGGCCTCTGGAATCCCATTCAGAGAAAAGCTGCTAGATTGCTGTGAGTATAGAGATGGGATGTGGGAAGCTTGTGCTATACAACTAGGAGCTCACTGTGGACAGAGCTGAGGCTGAAGCCAGGTCCTGGGAGGATCCCCAGTGGGGTTCCCTGTGGAGAAGGCTTGTTTTCCTTAGAAAATAAGGTGCTAGAGACTGAATGGCAGCCCCCATCTGCAAATGCCATGTAAAACCTTGTACTAAAGATCTGTGGCCCTTGCCCAGGGGAAATAGCTGGTGCTAGCGCCAGGGTCACAGAACTAAGCCTGGGAACCTGCAGTAGGCTATTTCTCTGGGGTCGGATACCCTATTAAAAAGCAAAGGTCCCCTAAAGAACCTGGACCTTTCCATTTTGGCAGTAGGGCAAGAGATTGCAAGTAAATTTCCTTGTGGCTGTTGATAAATGATAAGTGTGGATTCAGGAGTAGTAGCTAATGGAATAAGCTGACATTAAAAGGGCCTACCAGCCCTAATAACATCTGTCTTCTGGGGATGCTCTATACCAGTCATCATGTGCTGCATCCAGGTAAAAGCCTCTGGTTTAAAAATTGGGAAAATTAAATTAAGTCACTTTAAAATAATATGCTTGTGATAAAAAAAAAAAAACATGGCGAAGATTCTCATTTATTATTAATATAAAAAAGGTGCATTTTGAGTTGTTTTCAGATTCTGTCAATGATAATATAAAGGATGTCGCTAAGTTTTTAAGGTAATATGTTATCTAATTTTGAAAGTCCACCATGCTAATGTTCAAAGTAGCTGTAAGCATAAATTGTCAAATGATATTTTTAATCTTGGTCAGTTTTACAAGAATAAGATAAAATCTCAAAATTGTTTAATTTGCATTTCCCTGATGATTAAGGATGTTATATTTAAACAAATTTTAAATATCTTTCAGTCACTTCAAGTTCATTTGTTGAGAATTTACAGTTTTGGTCTGTGACGTAATTGTACTAATGAGGATTAAGTTCCTAAGTTCCTTATGTCTCATGATACCTCCCCATTCTACAGGTTGATATTACGTTCTGTTGATTATATCCTTTGCTAAAATAAATTTTAAACTTTTTTCCTTCTATAAAAGGTTCAATATTGTTGGTTTTATGTTAAGGTCTTTAATTTGTTTGGATTTCAGTTTTGTGCATAGAGAAAAATATGGATCTATTTTCATTCTTCTAAAGGGAGAAACTGACAGTCAAAATGCTGGGCTCATGGCAAATCTCAGGCGGGGGCTGCAAGGCACCCCACTAATTCGGCCGAGATAAGAGAGGTTCTCCAGGGGCCAGTTAAAATCTGTGTTCCTTAAATGATTAATGAAAGTTTACAGGCATTTTACCCAACCTCTGAAGGTCAGCAGACAGCAGTAGCCACAAGAGAGAGAGAGAGAGAGAGAGAGAGAGAGAGGCGGGAAGCAAAAGAAAGATAGGACTCAGACAGATTAGGAGCCTGGGCAACAGAAGATCAAAGACAGATAAAGAGGGACACTGGAACTGAGTAAAGAATACAAACTGGACACCTTACGAACTATAAATTTGGGAAAAAGACAAATAAATGACTCGTTCCTCCCTGGTCACTTCTGAATGTATGACCAAAGCCTTTTGTTGACCAAACGAGGGACTTTTGCTTTCGCTGCTGTTTTCAGTTCTGCAGGAGACACAGGCTGCTTGTCTGCCTCTGTCTCTACCACGCCCTCCTCACCAGGACGACCACCTCTCCTGCCTTCACCGCTGAAGAAATCCTCACCTCCTAGCAACTGCCTTGATGCTGTGCTTGCTCTAAAGCCTGCATGAGCCCTGACTGCTCACTCTACAGTCTTGCTCCCCTCACCCATGTCAGACTGCGATACAGCAGTCACCATGCTACCACAGGTGCCCTCCTGTGCCAGACTACTGCTCCTGTGCTGGGCTGACGTCGATGGACTATGGATCCTACCAGCATCTGCCTAAAGGACAGGCGAATGGCAAAATGGCAGGCTAAGCTGTGCCAG